ATAAAGATTCTAATATAAATACAAGCACACATTTTATATTTGAAACTACAGATATTATTATTTTTCTAATTAACAATATAACATAACAATCTCTATTAATATGCAGTTAAAAACAGTAAAAATTAGGCTTACGAAAAACTTTCAACAATTCATTAACAGAAATAGTTTTAAAAAAAGACGTAGACGATCAGAATCGAGTTAAAACAGAGAAGCAAAAAAATGTTCATATTAGACTTTTTTTGACTAGTGATGTTTTTGTGACTGTGATGTCAAACGACCTTTACCATTAGGTGTAACTTGATTTGATAATGTTGCAGTGTTAGTGTGAAATTTTTCTTGTATAACAGTCGGCGAGACAGCAGAAACTTGTATTAATGATGCTTGTGATTGAGATGCATATGTTAATGTAGCAGGTATTGATGATTGCTGTTACTATATTGATTTTAAGTTTTTTTCAACATTTTTTATATGTTGCATATGGTCATAAGTTGTTGATTGCAAATGCTTATAATAGTTGGACACTTGAATTTTATTATCATTTTTTTCTAATAAAATTAATTTATTATATTTACATTTAATGCTTGTTTGAACATCAGAATTTTCATGACTCTCAATGTTAAATACGAAATCAACCTTTTCTTCTAAATTAAAACTTTCTAAGCCGAAGTTTCCCTTGTTTTCTGAGCACCATCATTTAATAAACTCTAGTAGATTTTCTTAAATAGAGAATATAAATACTGTCGAATAATAACGTTATCAACAAATTGTTCAATAAGGGTTTATCTATATAAGAACTCCAAGTAAAAATAATATCTTTTATACCGGCCTCGTTCTGCTATTGAGATTTGCTCAATTCAATTAACTCGTTTTGGTTATCCAGACTTCAAGTATACAAAATAAATTTTCAAAAACAATTATTTGTTCAAATAAACTGCTTATTTTTCATCAAATAATACTTCATCAAATATAGATATGAAAAATAGAAACAAATATATGCATATTACGAAGGAAAGGCAGCATCAATTTCATTAAAGAAAACATTAAAAAATATAATCTATTGTGAAGTTTTGGTTTTGTAAATACATTCTATCTTAATGAGCAGAAAATAGTAAAAACATTGAAAAGAGAACCAAAAAATATAGATTTCAACAGCAACAGTAGTCAAAAATAAACCAACGTTCACTATATTGCTCCACAAAATAATTTCCTACCCTTGTATCATAATATTGAATAATTTCAAGGCCATATTCATGTTCAATTACGTGACTTAGTTCTTTTTTTATTGAAAAATGCTCTGCAAAAAGAACCATATTCAAAATTGCAATAGAAATTTTCGTGGAAAATACTTGTACTCAAGTGAATGAATCTGATACTGAATGAGATCGAATATTCAATGATATTCGATTGTCGGAGCCGATGGAAATTCTAGCAGTTGGGTTTCGCTTAGTTTCTAATAGGATCCAATGACCCTCTTCGAATGTGATATGAATCATATACGTTCTTCTTAGATGCCTCTTTCGGACCACACAAAAATTCAACTCAATATAATTATGCTAAATTACTTCTGAAATGCTCCATTTTCTCTAAGAAGTTATACAGAAACTCTAGAATTTGATGGGGAACACTTCCACAACTGCAATAGGAAATAGTTTTGCAATTACGTTATAGAGAAAAAAAAAGAAAAAAAGGGAATAAAGAGATTTTGCCACACCACCCAGAATAAGGTGTAGATGTGAAAGAAGGTTAATGGTAGACTCACACGCCTAACCCAACCCATCCACATTCACACAAACATTGTCATTTTAAAATATTACAATAGAAAGTAGAATTTAAGGCATTCAGAGAATCAATTCATACAAGAATGATATTAGAGAATGTAAAAAAAAAGGAATTTCGGGTAACCATGGCAAACTTTTTAAACCAAGTCATTTACTAGATTATGTTTCGTTTGGTTGCCCAAGGTCAACATCATTCTATACAGTTTGTTTATATAGTTCATAATCAATGGGATATGTTTGAAATAGTGAAAATCTGTTTTGGGTTCTAGTGCATAGTCACGCATGACTCATACTCGCGTTCAATTTACGTTCATTGATTTTCTGACAAGTGTCATGTTTATGTTCATTTTTTGTATGTTTAACTGTTCGGTACCCAACGTTCTCGTGCTTATCGCTCCAGTTTCTCTAACATTCCATGATGCATAAGAATTTTTCTTATTTCTATTGAAACAACAACAATCCAGTGAAAGTAAGTACATCAAATCATAATGTGTTATTTCGGATTTTTGACTAAAATTCCCAGTTATCCACCTAAAAAAATTATTTTAAAGAATAAGAAAGACAATATATCCGAGTTTTTATTTTTTTTCCCAGAGTAGCGGATAAAAATACATTAAAACAGTTTGAGAATCGCTTTCTACTACATTAAACGACCTAATCAACAGATTGTTCACAAAAACAGATGATGAAATCGAACTCTATTCTTATCGAACTTCACCTATAAGGTGAATGGGTTTTCTATAATTTATCAAGAAGAACCTATATTCAAACATTTATACATGAATACCTCACTGGTAGAAGTTTGTTTATTCAAATAGTATAAATATTTTTCTTTTGCTTGTTGCTTGCGAAGAGATATGACGAACAAAAGAAAAATGGAATAGGAGAGAAGATGAGCACAGAAAGTCTCTGTTGAGACCATGAAGGATGCAGATACATTTTTTTAAAGGAGACGATGCACACGCCATCCTCCGCGTCGTCAAGTCTCTGTGTTTGCGTCTAAAGAAGACCAAATGTTAAAACACCACAATACTTTTTATGACTTATTTTAATAACTAGAGAATAGAAAAAAAGTTTTTGGGAATATGTATGACTTTACAGATGAACTGGCTTTTGTGAAATTTAAAGGATATAGGTGTGGTTCAAGAGATGACCCCGACTGAAAACCACACCTACATCTTTTTTTTTTATTATGTATAGATAGTTGTATTTTCTTATGATTTTATTAAATCATTTTGAAAAAAAAAATAACAGTTTCAAAAGCAACTGATGATCGTTCTATTACGAAGAACGCGAAATCTAGATCCTAACATTCGAGACTAATACCCTACTTTAATGCAGAACTTTTTTTCTAAATTTAGAAAATAAAATATGAATGAATTTCTACTTTTATCCTTCAACAAATTTTCAATCTCACCCTACAAGTTAACAGTTTTATATGAAATGTCGTTCCTATTTTTCTTTTTGCTTTAAGTTACCATTCAGCAAAGCGGATGTCGGTGTGGTTGTGGATGTAGCTCTTGTGCTCAGTGGTACCCATACCCAGATCTCATCTATCTTTGATTATTTTGAAAACTGATGGGCTAAAACGATGGAGGATATTTAATAAAATGGGATGCTTATGTAATTCTAATAAGAAGAATTAACAATGCAGAACGTGTACAATATTGATTAATGTTTCAAAACGCCATAATTCATGAATATATAGGATTTCATAATCGTTTTAATCTATAAGTTGGAAAGCACCATCGAAATATGTAGACTTTTATTAGATGTGTACAGGATAAAAACAAACAAATTCAACCTTGTGCTGATTCAAATCAAAGTTAATTTTGCAGTTAAACTAAAACGAACTATCACAAACATACTAGAATAACCGATCGATATTTAATATTTATGTTATCAAAACAATGATATAACTATTGATGAACTTTCAAATGGATTCTCCTATGTTGTCGCGAAAAATGCTACATTGAAGAAAAACGAATGATCAATGATTGTCATTTGTTGTTTGAACATTTCGTTGAATTATTTATAATGTGAATTCAACTATGAATAATCCTGTTGTCGCATTTTCGTATTCAATAAAACTTTTTCTCATTGGTCAACATGTGTATATTAATGATTTTTTATTCCCTAAACGTTTTTCTTTCGAAATTTTCCCTTTTTGTTCTTTGTCTTTTGTAATTTTTTCCTTTGGGTATTTCCGTTTGACATTTTTTCTTTTTGACTTTTTTCATCATATCTCACCAGTTATGTGTAAAGACAAAACGAATGCCGTGCTCCGCATGAGGCGGCAAGAGGAAAGTGACGTAGTTTAGTTTGCGAATGGTAGGTTTCTTATTTTCTCCATGTGTCATCGTAATTGCGTCATCATTGCCAAATTCACTGTGATAGTGTCTGTAATATTCGCAGTATACTTCTAGTTTTTAGAAAAAATCGTAATTATCTAAATAATCTTTCAATGATTTGACTTTATTGTAGTAGTTGCTCTAACACTGTATCTCTAACTTTGTATCATCACCATTTGTTGCCATGCTCATAGAATTTTCTTGTGAACGAGAGGATAGATGAATTTTTCTATTCCGGTCTCTATAAATTGGAGAAAAAAGACATTGCCCGAAAAATGAAACTTACTGCTCGTTTGATTTATCAGATGATCTAAATATAAGAGAAAAAATATTTATTTCCGTATAATAATACTAACCTCTAAAGTTTGTCGGGAAAATGTTGATGAATCGTTAGCATTAACGACATTCTGATTGTATGTATAGTCATTTCATATGGACTACTCACCGATGTTTAGCGATGTTCATCTATATCAAAATGATTTAAATTCAACACCAATATCATTACCACCATCAGTAATGCCAAGAAGTACCGAACCACAGAACGAATGCAATACAGTTGATGTAGATAGAACGACAGGTCAATATTCATCAAATGGTGCAAGAATAACGACAAATGTGGGTCAACCACCATCAGTTCAATCCTATCGTCCAAATTCTGTTGCACCTGTGACACTATTTTCAAAAGCTTCAACACCATGTACACCACGACTGGTTGATAGTTCACATTTACAACCAATTATACAAAATATTGTATCAACAGTAAATCTTGGTTGTCCATTAAATTTAAAACGTATTGCGCAACAAGCACGGAATGTTGAATATAATCCAAAACGTTTTGCTGCTGTTATTATGCGAATACGTAATCCACGTACAACTGCTTTAATATTTAATGCAGGGAAAATGGTCATTACAGGTGCTAAAAGTGAAGAAGATTCACTCCATGCTGCACGGCGTTTTGCTCGAATTATAGAAAAACTTGGTTTTCCTGCTAAATTTCAAGATTTTACAATTCAAAATATTGTTGGAAGTGTTGACGTTAAATTTCTTATTCGATTAGAAGTTTTGAAATTAATGCATGGTAACTTTTGTACTTATGAAGCAGAAGTGTTTCCTGGTTTAATCTATAAAATGCTGGATCCGAAAATTGTGCTACTTATTTTTTTTACCGGCAAAGTTGTATTAACAGGTGCAAAAGTTCGCCAAGAACTTAATGAAGCATTTAAACGTATTTATCCAACACTTGCAAGCTTTCGAAAATAACTTCTGTTTATGTGTTGCATAGAAATGGTTATGATGACTTTTACATATGTATACCTCTCCTTATTTCTCATTGCTTGTTTCCTGATATATTATATAAATGTGTTTTTGTGATATGCAGACTTTGTTTGTTGATTAGTTGTGTTTTGTTTAATTTTGATATTGAATATAGTATCCATTAAAACAAAAGTATGATCTAATATATGTTGCGATGATGAAAATGTACGCAATTTCTGGCAATACTAGACTGATGGAGGAACATTTTACAATAGCAGAGGCATAAATTCGAGCGATAATACATTTAAATGACATACTTCATAGTTAGTTGTAAGTGTATGCGTTTCGATGCCGGATTGTTCATCGTGGGCATCTAGCTTGCACGGGATGTGGATGTAATAAGTATTGGCAAGGTACACATGTTTACCCTAGTTACGATTTCTACTTAGATTATCATCCAAATAGACAATGAACACATGTTTATGAATCATACGCTGAAAAGAAAACTGAACTGATAAAGAAGAAAAAAAATATCGTTTTTCTATCGTTGTTTATTCTGAAAGTTTTAAAAAATTACACAACATGAGTGTGGGCTTGGTGAGTGTGAGTATGAATTGTCAGTTTTTTCTTTGTCGATACCTATACCTGCACACACACACACACACACACCCTGTATTGATTTACACTAGAGAAAGGAAGAGAGATTAATGATAAATGAGTTGACATAGAAAATAGAGAAAAGAAAGAAGGAAAATTACAGCAGCTTTCGCAGCACACTTTCAGTACATAGAAAAGAGAGACATTAAAACTAGACACATATACATTGAATAAAGAAAGTCAGTCGCGAACATATTTATTTGTTTATTGCTAACACACAAAGAGAAGTTATGTGGAGATTTTGTAATCAATTGTTAACAAAATGTTGATATTGTCCGATATGTATATTAATAAACGTCATTCTATCCATAAAGAAAATTTTCAGCTTATTTTATTATAGTCTACACGGAAAGATACTATTTCTTTAAAAATTTATTGATTTGAACTAGATGTTATTCGAAGTGGTAATCGTCAAGTACGCATTTTAGATCGGTTGGAATGCAATAACTTCATCAGATGTAAGCCGATATAGAACAAACAGACTCCAGTAAAAAAGTATTGCGATTGTCAAGGACTTCTATTAGAATTAAAATCAACATTGGAAAGAATTTATACACATTAGAATTAAAGTTTATTTTCATATAGCACTTGCTTATAACCACGATTTGTACTATACATACAAACGAGATATATCTTTTATCTCAATAGATCTTGTTTCTACTGATCGATGAATTCATGTTGTGAGTTAAAGACCACACATGTTTCATACTTGACGATCTTTGAAAAGCTTTCATCGCAAAAGAAATATGTCTGATAATATATTTAGTCTAATTATCTGAAACGAAAATAACGTATTTGTTTGTCATTGGTTTCGTTTAGGACTTATAATCAATTAATAAAAGTATCAATTTTCGAAAATGAGATAGTAAACATAATAAGGATACTCCCATTTGTTTAAGAATAAGCCAAACTTATGTAAATATGTTTTTTTCCGACATTTATATTAATTGAAATGCAAACAGAAAAAAGAATTGAATCATCACTCGCTTTTATGTCTGTTCGTTGTGAACAGTGCTTAGACCAGATAACTATCCCGAGTGATAATCATATAATTCATCAGTACTGTTATTTCAAAAAATATTGATATCCATTGATAGAACTCTTTTAATTGTCAAGGGCCAATAATTCATTGAAAGAATTATAAAATATGGTGCATTGTCATTTTATCACATCCTTTATTTGCGTATTATCATACATGGTAATGTTTATTATTTTTAATTATTTCGCCAATGATCAGCTATATGAGTGTGCTCTTTTTGATGAACAGAAAATTCCAAATTCTAGTGATTTTTTCTTTTAAAACTCTCTTAGATTCTAACATGAGAAAGCAAGTAATTATTTGCTCGGTTTCTGTTACTGCACAACAACAATTTTCGCTTATTTTTTTTTTCATAGTTGTAACCAATAATGCCAACAATCCGATCAAGTTTACTAGAAAATTATTTTGCAACGAAGAACAATGAAATCAAGCTCATTGAATTTCAAATGGAATTGAAGATATTGAAAGCTGAATTTGTTTGTGTTTAATTATGTGGAATGTCACAGTTAAGTGAATTGTTGAAGTTATAAACCAAAAAGCTAAATATCAAAACTCTACGTATCTATTTCACTTTTTTTCTATTTCAAACAAACTTGAAAAAGTTCTTTCAAGAACTTTCACAAGATCCTAATAAAGATTTTCCGCATAGATTGTTTTTACAGGCAGTTTGACGTATGAATGAACATTTTTCTTTCTATATTAGAGATTGATATTTCAACGAAATAATAATAATTAATAATATTTATTATTGACTTTGACATTTATATCTTAAATTGTCAATTTTGAACATATAAGCTAAATCAACACGCCCAATATGTATCAATGCTGAAATAATATTGTCTATAGTTTGATTTATTTTAAATGCATTTTGTCGTTTTAACCATTTTAATAATGTTTCATTTTCAAGTTTTGTCTGTTCTAGTTTTATATTATGGTCTCGCAATAAATTTGTTTTAGAATTTCCATATAAGGATGTATTTGATTGAGAATGAATATGTCGTTGCTGTTTTTGTGATGTTAGAGAAGTTACAAGAGGATTCATCAAAGACGGATGTATATTAAGAGCTTCGGCAAGCTCACGTTTATCCTCAGTTAATGCTTCCATGATTCCCTACAAGTTAAAAAAAAAATGGAAACAGTAAAAATTTACATCGACAGTTGATGATTATACTCACCGTAAAAAAATTCGGCACAATAACTGGTATTATATTTGACTGTGTAGGTGGTAACTGAAAAGCAGCTTTAGGTAGACGAATACGAATTGCACACACAATATTTTTTTCATTAAGATTACGAGCTGTCAACCGTTCAAAACCAGATCGACCACCAGCACCACCAGCATTACTTATTGTTTCAGGTCCACTTGCAGACATTCGTGGAGATGAATTATTTAGTAAACCATCAAATATTTCAAAATCTTTTGAACCAGCTGATGTTCTCGAGGAAACAGCAGCCGCTGTCTAAATATTATTATGAGAATTCAAATTCAAAAGAAAAGCTTACAAGGGAATTTCGTCAGATGTTCTATTCTTATTTGCATGATTTTTTACCTTGAGATACATACTACATAGTATTCTAACAAAATCTAAAAAAGGACTTGGGTTTCTAGGTGTATTTTATAAATAGATTATAAATTTGATAGTGTAGTCAAATCTTAATAGAAATCTATATTATTTTAGGATTATTATTTGAACACAAAAAAGTCACCAGTGAAATGGAAACTATATGACAAAATTTAAATATTACTTCAATCTTCTTTTAACTTTACTCACAAGTGTACTACTCGTCGATTCAAGTGTGATACTTTGTGCATTTATTTCATAGATATTGAGTGTGCCGATAAAATCATCATCAGTCTTTTGACGATAAATATCAATTGGATAAATATCAAATTCAATGACAACAGGATAACGAGCATGTAATCGAAAACTTAAATCAACTAGAAAAAAGTTTTTATTTTTTACTTTGGATAGATATTAGTAAATATTAACAAATATCGCAGATTAAATGGGACAATATCATTTTCCTTTTAAGATGATTCTGATGCACTTTCAGAAAATGATTCTAGAACGACATTTTTAGCTCTGCAAAACTGTTTTGTTTGTTTTTTCAAACAAAATTTTCTTGTTCCAGTGAGTTAACGTAGTTAGCATCGATGGATAGAGAATTTTGTACTATCCGCTTTCACAAATTTGTTGAGGCTTCTGGTTTTCCAAAGCAAGACTTAGTGTATGACGATTAAATTGTGTCTAAATAAAAAAGAAGAATCAACGATATATAATCCTCAATATTATATGCTCAGGATACTCAAGAAATTCATGAGCATGAAAAAAAAACTTACTTGACTAAGCAAATGCAACAAGTTTGTAGAACAACAAATTCTCTATCGAATGACTTTCTGAAAGTGTATCTGTGTATAATTCAAAAAAAAATGATATACTCCCGTTTTATCTGCGCTACCCATTATTAATAACTCGAGTTTTTACAAAACCTTACCTTTTTCATGTACGTCAATATTACCCATGGGTATAATTCTCACCTAAAATTTAAAACATTTACATAAACAATAACATTTCTAAGTCTATTATCTTACATAAGTTCCTTCGGATAGACAAAATTGAACATATTTTGAAACACTAGGCAATGAAGATCTAGCTGATAATGTATGATGTGATTGATATTGATTGATTTTTGATAAACGTGTTTTGCTATTACTATCAGAGATTAATTGTTCATCATCAAAGATATATTCTGTATAGTTTCGTTTGCGAAGAATTTCTTCGGCTAATCGTTGTGCTTGTATTGGTACAATCATGAGAGCATAATGACCAAATGAATTGATAGATGATGAATTCCGTGCCAAAACACAAGAAAATAATTTAGCTGATGTTAATGACCAAAGATTCTCAGCTAACTTATCAAACTTTCCTTCATTACTCGATTCTGGCCAACAACGAATAAGAATAATTCGATCAAGTAATGTTGTCTATATTAAATACTTTGTTTCGAAAACAAAAAAGAAATCAAAATATTTCTTACTAAAGTAATTATGTAAATATCTTTATCAATTGTTCGTGTAATAGTAGCAAAATTATTACAATTTTTCCATTTTCGATTTTTATAACCAAGTAATATAATTGGAGCATTTTCATTTTGAAATCCATCTAGTTTCCAATTGAACGGTGATTTTTTTGATGACATCGATTGTGAATTGTCTTCACGATTAATACTAAATTTTGGTTTAATTAGATGTTCTTGATTATCCATTTTAATTTGTTCAATAACAGCTGCTATACTTGGTAAATGTGACATAACTGTGGGTGAAGTTAACCTATTACTTGATGTTGGAGTAGTAGCTAATGAACCACCAGCTTCATCATATTTTTCTTGTTCAAATTTTTTACGTTGTATGAAAATTTTTTCTATAAGAATAAATTTTGAAATTTTCAATACAAAAAATATTTAAATATTTCGATACGTTGAGCTTTTCGACGTCGTTTTTGTAGATCATCATTAGTTTCACTGAATAAATTAAAATATCGAGTTAATGAAATAGTAATGGATATGATTCCTTCCGTTTTTGTTTCTTTATACCATTCAAATTCAATTAAATCCGAAGAAGCTAATAATTGATCTTCACTTTTTAGAACTTTCCAATAAAATATACAGAGATAAGAATAACAAAGCGAAAAAGATATGTTTTCATACCAGTCATACATCGAATTAATTCATTATTGAATGGTATAATGCGAACACGTGGTGGACGAATAAAATAATTTTTAGGTGTTTCTATTCGAAATATTGATGAATGTTCACTTGTATATACAGAACATGAACCTATTTTATAGACATTTCTACTATGAAAAATACAACATATTTCATCCTCGAATGTATGTGGTAAGTTCGGTTGGATCTACAACGTTGTTTTTTGTTTCCTACTACATTAATACTTATATATTTTTCTGATCAATCTCTTATTCTTGAATAAATATTTCAGGAAAATATTTAAAGATGAATGTACATGAAACAATTCCATCATGATATTGTTTTTATTGTATTTTATTCATTGTAGAATATAAAAAATAAATAACAAAGAAATCTCTATCTTTTTTAGTATGAGTAGATTAATATATCAATACATGTGAGGACATTTACTCGCTTATGCTGCAGTTAGATCTGTAATTTGAGTTTCTTCCATAATAATTTGATGACGTCATAGATAACAAGTTCTATCACGTTTAGAATCAAATTAATTGTTAATTTTGAAAAGTAAAAAAAAGATTTTGAATTAATGCTCATAAATTTAATTTCTATTCTTTCTGTATTATTGCTTAACATTTTTCACCAGTAATATTTCTAGGTTAATTCCTTCTTATCAACTTGCATTCTTTATAATGAACTTTGGCATATAATGTCATATATAGTTCTCACTAATGTTCTTGTTCTAAGAACCACTCTGTCGCATAAAAACTTTGTGTGCAAATCATTAGTCATCATGAATGCCCAGAAGCTATGAAGATTGGGAAGTTGACCATTCTTACAGAGGTCCATTAGCCAATTAAAGGAAGAAAATCATTTAGTTGCGTTGGAGAGTGACATGCTTGTTCATCATATTGATGTTGCTTTGTATAAAAGACTTACGCTCTTATATTATGTCTCTAAAAGATCAAAATTTGTAGTAATCTCGCCGATAATTCTTAGTTTCAATTTATTTTTGTCCAATACATCGTTAGCAAACAAGTTTATTCCACTTATCCCAAACTCGTACAATCGAAAGGAAGCAATTATTGATGAGAAGATTGTTCTTAGAACAATAAAGTCAATGTGTCCTAAAATCTTGATACAATTTACAATAGCACTAATTATTTTGTACAGAGTAAGATCTATCACTGGTAATATTTAATCTTTTCAAGAGCTAAATAACTCTTTTTTGTCAAACTTATTTAAGTCAGTCGCTTATATTGATGTTTAACTAGAATAGATGGAATTTGTTCACAGAAAAATGTTGCACTAGCATAGTTATTAATCCTCAAGATAACTTGAATGAATACGGCTTTCTATAAATCAACACTTGTTAGCAAAATAGTAGTGGAACTTACGAGGGAACCATCCGAGGTGTCAAAAAGCTTTTCAGTCGGGGATATGATGGTTAGCTAGGACATAGCTAGGAGTGATATACCCTAAGTTAGTTCGGGCCCAAGTTGCTTCTAGCAGGAGTTATGAAATGTGAAATTTAGGTATAAAAATGAATCAGGGAAGGTTTTCTCCACTATTTTAAGGACAAAACATAGTGTTATTCGGGCCGATTATGGGGTTTGTAGGGATCCTCTTTCATATGGCCCGAACAACACCATGTTTTGTC